CACACGGCCATCACGATGTGGTCAGGCTATTAGTGCAACAAGGCACACGTCTGAACATCAATGAAAGCACGATCGCATCTCACGACACTGCCCTCTGCATTGCTACCCGTGGTGGTGACTTGGAGATGGTTCAGGCACTATTACTCCATCACCAAATTGATGTCAACCTCCGGAATGAATATTTTGAGGATCCATTGATGTTGGCAGTCAAGAATGGTCATTCCTCGATTGTTAATGCTCTTTTGGCAAACGCCAGACTCAAAAACTTCAGTTTGAAGAGATCGCTTGAGCTAGCAAGAGACGACTGCATCCAGAGGGCTATTCAGAACAGAATGGAAGTCGACAACTCTCGTCAAACATTGTTGAGGCGGTCTCCGAGGATGAAGTTTGGTGGTCTGTACAGTAAGCGACATCTACACCTGTCGTGATGCAATACCAGAAGGCTGTTCTCAGCATCACTTGCCATGAACTCTCGGAATTAGTTATCTGTATCTCTCATTGAACAGGTTTATTGACAGTAATGCCACGTTCGGCTTCAACGAAGTCTAGCTGTTTTATACCATCCAATGCATCAAAGACACACTTGCAAACTATTATGAGGAGGCATTTTCTACAAGTATTTGTCTCAAGGCTTCGTCTGTTGCCCATTTCCACATTAAATTGAGTAACTCGTGGTGGACAGCAGGTGAGATCGAGCGTCAACAGTTGAGGTAACCGTTGAGGTAACCGTTCACTGACTCTTTTGAAGGCGGTCGAACTCAGGGCTGGCAATGACAGCAGCTCAGTGTCGTTGCCGGCTATAAAAGACCCTCGAGTACAATGTTCCTTGCATTTCATTCCAAAGGCCACGATGGACCATCCGACTTCACCTTCCCCGTGTGACCGGCCGGCTAAGAGACAGCGTCTGATTTCCCACGACGCAGAAGATGAGAACAAGGCGCAAAGCCACCAACAGCAATCTTCAGATGGTGCAGCCATCGAAGCTGAGGTTAGTCAGGCCCTCTTCGATTGCAAACGAACGAGATCACTAATACTGCATAGGTTCCAGTGCGCACACGCGGTTCCCTTACGGCGGAGTTCATGAAACTTCTACACTACAACGACGCCCTGGCTACACCATCCCTCAAACTGCTGGATCTGTACTTTTGCCTCTGGGAATGCTACGTCGTCAAATCTGCCGAGAAGATACGACTCGAGGAAGAGCAGCGACAGCTTCAAGAGTCAAATGAGTGGCTAGCAAGCGACAGCGACATCCTTCTACAGCTCTGCGATGAGCAGGCATTGATACTGTGGGATCAAAAGCGAGCAGTTCAAGCCCTTTGTAATGGCGTGGTTTCATCATTGCAAGCGAGCGAGACTCAAGCCTGCCATGCTGATAGGCATTGATTAAGTCTCATTGTTGTTCAGCGCTCGTGGGCGATAACGGCCCAAACAACCACCGGTGAAGTTCCGTTGGGTTTGGTGACGGGGTGTCAACGTTTCACGGCTGTTGATAGACCAAGCGTTTGGTTTTCAACAAGTTAGCATCTGGCCATCAAGTCCTCCTAATTTTCCATAAACTTTCGTTATCAAGATAAATAAATTATCTGCTTACCCTGCGGCAATTTGTCCTTCCCAACCCTCGTTAAATCATACTTTCTACATTTCTGTAAATTTCCACCAGCCTTCGACGGCGAGTCTTGAACAAGAATGCACAAATCAAAGAAGAATGGTCTGTACCCGTTATTTCAGTGGTTGGCTTGTGCTAAAATTGGTAGACTGTGATTTGGATTTCGACCTTCATGCCATCTGGCAAGACTCCTCTGGCATACCGACACCGCCTCCTTGTCTCGCTACCGACTTCGAACATCCTCGACAAATCCTCTCGAATGAGAGTGAGCCTGCAGGATATGAGACTCAAGGTTCCTCCGTGATCGAATGCTGTTTGCACCCCACTTACGACAAGCTGTCGGCCTTCAAGTGGATGGGTCCAGATCCTCTGTCCATGTCTACTCAGGCTAGCGACATGTTCTTCTACATGTCAGCGTTCGCTTTCCCTATAGAAGTGCACTGGATAGAGTTTCTACTAGTGCGATTTGACCGGAAATCTGGCCAGAGGATAGGAGAGCACCTGTTCATCCTACCCCGAATTGAAACGGCCCTGGGGAATCTCTGTCGGGTACGCGGACAGTTGCTAGACACGATCGCCCGGTCTGAGTTTGGTGCAATAGGCACTAGCTTCCGACTGTCCCTATGGCCTCGTATGGATGTATAATACTCGAGTCAATCGGCACTTTCCCCGCTAGTCACGCTACAGACGACACTGTCGCTGAATCTGGAGTTTCTATGTGCATAATACATTGGGTGAGTGTAATTGAAACTGGTCCCTAAGATGGGCGATTGTTCGCAGACACAAGGAATATAAGCTTCTTTTCATGGTGTGATTCTCCTTCAATTCGACGTCATCGTAGTGTTTCTGCTTTGCTTTTAAGCAATATGGAAGATGGTTCCAAATACATGTAGTCAATCCCTCATTCTCCTCTTGCGTTATCCAAGAACTCTGCGAGATTAAGTATGGAAAGTGATTCCAGTCATCAAGTACGCTAACTAGCCTCTCCCGGGATAATTCCAATGCCTGCTCAAAAAAACGCAGCCGGGATAGCTGCTTGTCATGGCTAACCTGAAGACTATCTCTCTTTTCTCAGGTGTGCACCGGCTTCCTTCAAAACAAGGCTGTCCTGCTCTAGCATCTGGCCATCGACGTGCTTGGACACGCACGATTCCCATAGGCGTCTATAGAGTCCAACATGTCGAGCTGCTGGAAAGGCGAACTTGGGATCGTCGTGCTCGAGATCTGCTAGAGCCTTCAAGATCGGTTGAAATTCCTGTTGCGAAGGGGAGGGCTGCAATGATCAGCAAAAGCACTTGAAGCCGAATTGTTTCACTTACATACCAATGGGACGTGGTCAGAATCTTCCTGTGATTTGTCTTTCTCGCTGGAGATTGGCAATTCATTGGGCTACTGATCTGCTTCATTCTCCTGGCCCGTCGAGCTGTTTTGGGACTCCGTTTTGTCCGCAAGAGAAAGTCACGGGTCTGGACAATACCATTTCCATCGATCCTTCGTGTTTTACAGACTGCGCAGACGCAGGCAACTATGTAGTGGATTTTACGACCACCACAGCTGTTGATTGGTGCAGTCAGATTTTGATGGAATTTTGATGGTTTTCGTGGGGCTGTTCACAGTGTATTGAACAATAGGGATAGTCGGTCGGGGAAACTGATCAAGCCTGACGATGTTGAGGACCAAAGATCAACGCTCGTTGAGGATATTTATTTCAACCAAACACTTCTTTCAGTTTCGTTGAACGCCTCAGAAATCCGACAAATGGAATATCGTAGAACTTATAGTCATCGAAAAAAGAAGTTCGAAAGGAAAAAGAAAAAAAAAAAAAATTTGGTGTCTTCATGGTTGCAAGTTCAGAAGTTGAGTGTTGACATTGACAACGTGTGGCCAAGCTCCAACGAGTTGACGGGTCGATCCGGTCATTGATCTGCCACAAAGCCTCACTTCAAGAGGGCGTGAAGGATTCACTAGTGAGCCAACGTTTCCTGATCGACTCAACATCCACTCTCAACACCACTATTGCTCATCTCTCTCGCTGAGCATCCAAAGGCAGAACAATGTCGCTGCAAATAGTTGCGGTAAAAAGAAGACATAGGTTTCAACAGGCCTCAATTAAGAGAGTTGTCCCCCAACCTTTCTACCAAGTAGCGCACTTACCTGACAGGATGAGCCGAGAAGCCTATAAATACGTCCTCTACCCCGGACAATTTGCTCTACAATTAATTCACTTGACTATGCAAAGTCGAGCAGGCTTGTGTCTTGAGTCACTTGATAAGTTCCCCACCTTTGACCCAGTACTGAATTCCACTGTACTGACGTTCATAGAATACATCGTGGATGAACAAGCCAGACAGTGCCTGTGAGAGATACAGGTATGATTCCCGCCAGATGCACTGCCATTCACACCAGCCGATTAAAGATGTATATGCAAAGATGCCTCCGCCACAGCAGCCGACTGAGCTGATCTACTGTACAGCCTCTGTGTATTTCCAAGAGAAAGCGCGAATGTTCACGTCGAGGTATGTGAATCTTAGCCTGACCTGTCTCACTGATTCTGAAGACGATGCGATTTCAATAGAACCGGGGACAATTGAACACAATACACGAGCGCAAGAGTCACAGCTCTTTACCGTCTCTTCGTCCCTAGTCTTGGCCACCAGAGCATGTGAGTCATGGATTATGTCGCCGATGTACAAGCTATTGAACGATAGTGAACATCGACATTGCACCAGAAGTCCCCGTGGAGCATCCCCGTTAGTGCTCTGCACAAAGCCACTGCCTACACACTATTCATGGCCCCGTCGCACCAAACCACGCAGCAAAGAATCAGGTGAAGAAGGAACGGGCTAATAACAGGTGCGGACATCCGATCGCGAGCTTCGCTGCGCAGAAGCTTGAGACGTCCATTCTTCATGACAATGTGAGTGATTTATCGCATCCTCCGCTGCGCTATATCAGTTGTTGCGAATTTTTGTGCTCCAAATCACCAAT